CAAGAATCCCTTCTGCAAGATTTGCAACATCGCTAACAACACCTCAATGCGTGTTGCCCGGAAACCAGGGGGGCGGAGTGACGATCTTCTCGACGCACCCACCGCTCCCTACCAGCAGCTCGCTACTGATAGCGTGATCTTGGCGAAAGGCGATGAACACGTTGGCATCGGCATAGGCGGAATAAAATCCCACCATGTCATCAGGGATGTGTTTTCCGGCGCAAGGGTCGCATACCCGGTCTCGAAGAGAGACATTCCGTCGCACGCAAGGAATCTCAGGCATTTCATTGGCCTCAGAGCCAACGAACTCGCTCCACACTGTCTCATAAAAATGGACGAAGCTGGAGAGTTGAAGTAGGGATGATCCCCGAAACTTCGTTGCCGAATCGCTGGCCACACAACTCCGAGCTCGAGCGAGATGTCCGAGAGGAGAAAGAGTGTTGCAGGAGCATACACCATCAATCGGGTTTGCCCTACTCTCTGCACACGCACTCCTATCCCTTTGCATGCCTCTCGATGTGTTTCGACCGACCGTGCACGTTCGATCCGACAAAGACGCAATGGGAAGCACTCACCAAGGAGAAGTTCGATGGCGTCCGCTGTTGTTTCGGACAGCTCGTTTGGTATCGCCTAAAGTCAGCTGGAAAGAGAACCTTAGAACCTAACATGGCCCCAGGCTTGTTCATGGGTTGGCGTATCGATCCAGGGATGCGATATCGTAGGGTACTAAAAGTTATGGACTACGAAAGTTTCAGGACCAATGGAAATGTTACTGTCCATGATGTGCCCGAGCCTGAGTTGTTCGTCGAGGAAGGCGACCCTGTTTTCCCGATCGCGGCCGCTGCCGATCGAGCTGCGAACAGGCGATGGCGAGGTTCCTGAGCAGAGATGTTCCTTTCATCCCTGAAGGCATCCCAGCCCCGTCAACTCCGTCAGGCTTTAAGTCAAGAAGTGCGTGTATCACCATTGAACGGATTATAAAGTTCAAGGAGACTCCTGGATGCAAGGCTTGCACCGGCCATGCTAGTTCTAGGCATCACACTGACGAATGCCGCAAAAGGTTTGCAGAGCTAGTTGAAAGTGAAAAGGAAGAAGCGAAGGCCAAAAAGGCCGCAAGTGAGGAGGCCACCAAACCAAGTAAGGGTGAAGATGAGGCAGCTGCTATACGCGCTGCAAAGGCGTCCTCCCTGGAACCTCCAGAAGCCCCAGAGATTGAGGCACCTGAGGAGGGAGACCCCGATATCGTCCGTGCCTTGCTTGGAGAGCCCGCCTCTTCTCGGCCCAGTGTTCCGCATACCGACGCTGTCCCCGCATCAACTAAGAGGGATGAATGGGTTTATAAGCCTAGTGGTAACGTGTTCATCCGCGTGCATCATCAGCCTAGGATTAAACTTTTCACTCCCAAGGATGTCGGTGACTGTCCCGTGTCAGTGTGCAGAATCACGCCCGGTAGGACCACTCGCGTTGTGTCCCAGCAAGATGGTAGCAAGGAAGATATCAGTGATGGTTGGGCAGGCAGATTCTCAGCACATCGAGAACTCCCTGCGTTCTGGACTGGCATAACCATTTTTAGGTTATATAGTGATTCCGAGCATTCGGCTGCAGCTTTAAGCGCAGCAGGGGGGCTCAGTCCTCACGAGGGTAATATCCCAGTCAGCTCAGGAGCAGCCGTTACCGTGTCAACCGCTTCCAGCACAACACTTGCTGAGACCACGAGGGAAAAGCCGTCCGTTTTCGGTAACCCTTGCCAGCTTCAGGGGGGCCAACGCCCTCCAATCACCGTTGGCAATAAGCGTGCTCGCAAGCGCCTAGCGCATGATGCTGTTGGCCCGATGTTTGAGTTTGCTTGTTCACCCAATTCCTCAATGGGTAATGTGTTCAAGGATCTCAACATCCCACATGTCCGATTAGCAAAGGAGTACATTGACTTAGAGTCAGCCGTTGCGGATGAGCAGCTCGCGTACCAAATCTCGCAGTGCGTCCAACCCAACTTGTGGGCAGCCATCCCATGTGTCTCAGGATCGCCCTGGCAAAGGCTGAGCCTCCACAGGTTGGGTAAGCCGTTTAAGAAAAAGTTGGGAGAAAAAGTAAAACAGTCCAAAGTGATGTTTTCAAAGTTTGCATTGCACGCCGAGCATGTTTTGAAGGCCGGCGGATCAGTCACCTTCGAGTGGCCACGTGACTGCGAGGGCTGGCAAAGGCCAGATGTAGCCGAGTTCTTCGAACGCCACAAGGACGTGTTCCACGGTGTTTCGTTCCACGGCTGTGCTGTCGGCTTGACGGATGAAAATGGTTCACCCATCAAGAAGCCTTGGCACATCAAAACTACATCAAAGGCCCTTGCCGAAGCATTCGCAGATCGCCAGTGTCCGCATACAAAGTCCGAAAAACATACTCCAGCGGCAGGGAGCCGAACCTCCCGCACTGCGTTCTACCCTGAACAAATGTGTGGTTTGATCGCCAAAGCGTTGTATCCCAAAGTGTGTAGGACTCCGGTTCAAGCAATGCCCGTTGTTCCAGTCACTCAGCAAACGGAGCATCGTGTTAAGGAACAATCCCTAAAGCACGAATCTCCTCTTTCCGGAGCGGATGACTTCACCCTCCTCGTTGAATCAGACTCTAAGACGAAAGAGATCGTCGAGGAACTCCTGGACGTCCAAGGTCTACTCGCTAGTGCTGTCGGCATGCCCGCCAAGGCTGTCGAAACAGAAGCACATGCAATGGTCACCAAACTCCTGTCCCGTGCCGAGATGCTTGCATCTCCTGAAGCATTAGAGGCAATCAAGCAGGAGGCGACCGGACTCCAAGACGTAGGAGTATGGGATAGTTCAACTGTCCGGGAGAAGGCTGAGGTCGCAGCTCAAGCGCGACAGTCTGGGGTCAAGGTGCACTTTGGTCAGCTCATGACGATCATCAAGTTCTATGAACTTGCGAAGCACCTCCAAAAGGTAAAGGGGCGCATCGTGTTCAGGGGAGACTGTGCAAAAGATGAAGCCGGTGCACCCGCGGTGTACCAGGAACTGGGGGCCAACCCCACCTCGGTACAAGGCCTAAACGCCTGTCTGGCGTATGGGTGTATCCCAGGACACACGGTCACCACCGCTGACGCGGTAAAAGCCTATGTCCAGGCGTTCCTTAGCTCGCAGTTTCAGACGTGGATTGAACTCCCACCCAAGCTGCGGCCAAAGGAATGGGGTTCCAAGTTCGTGAAACTCGTGGTCTTGTTGATTCGTGCCCTATATGGTCACCCTGACGCAGGAGGCTTGTGGGAGGCACACCTTAAGAAACTGCTTAAGCAGCTGGGAGGGGAAGAAATCCCAGAGTTTCCTGGAAACTTTTTCTTTAAAGGGGTAGGCCTTATGCTCTCGACTTACGTCGATGACTTGACCCTTTCGGGTCCCGCAGATGCACATGAAGCCTTTTGGGAAAAGCTTACAAAATTGATAAATGTAGAGCCTCCCGAGCCGATCTTTCGGGTGCTCGGGCGTAATCATGTCTTTATAGATGGCCCCGCAGAACCTCAAGAGCATGATCTGAATGCAGCTGTAAGCGCATTAAAGGGTGCCGTTGCCTTTGACATGAATGACTATGCCCGTCAAACTGTAGAACTGTTTTGTTCTATAACCGGCACTCAGCCCGAGAAGCTCCGGAAGGTGACTACTCCGTTCTGTCCAGACGGATCACTTCCTCCAGAAGATGGTCAGTCAGCTGGTGAGCTAGCCCCAAATGCATGCAAACTCCTCATGAAGGCCTTATGGCTGGGACGACTAGCGCGTCCTGACATCATCAAGCCCATAGGTGACCTAGCAACCGCCGTGCAGAAGTGGTCTCGTAACCATGATAGGCAACTCGCCCGTCTTATCGCATACATCCACTCGACTACGCACTACCGGTTGGTAGGAGTCATAAAGGACAACCCGCAAGATCTTCACCTCGCTGTATGCGGATGCCGACTATGCTGGAGAAAGGGATGCGAAGTCCACGTCCGGTGGCTTCCTGGTCCTCAAAGGACCGAACACCCATTTTCCTTTAGCGTGGTTGAGCAAACGACAGACATCAGTGTCGAGATCCACCACCGAAGCCGAGGTCGTTTCGCTCACATTCTCTTTGTATCAAGAGGGTCTCCCCTCTTTGACCTTATGGGAACGTCTGCTTGGACGCCCGGTTGAGCTGGTGCTGCACGAAGATAACCAAGCCACTGTCCTTGTTGCCAAGAAAGGTTACTCCCCAAAAATGCGGCACATACAGCGCACTCACAAAGTGAACTTGTCCGCACTTGCTGAGCAACTTGAACCCGGCACGGGTGTAGTGATCAAGTATGTAGCTACTGATCTCCAGGCAGCTGATATCTTTACGAAGGCACTGCAGCCCTTGAAGTGGGACCACGCACTAAAGCTTTTAGGCATCCGAACCAATTTGCCTGAAAAGCTGAGAGATGTCCGGCCTGAGATGTCCAAGCAGTAACAAAAGTGCAAAATCATAGGTAAGCCCTCCTTATGGTCTGGTAAAGGACCTTGCATCACATAGGTCGCAGCTCAAGCGCGACTGTACAATACGTGTCTCTTAGTGAGCACGGGGAGGGGGGGGTTGAATAATCACGACCCCTTGACCCCCAAAGAGGCGCCCCAGAATGGTGTGATGTATGTGATGTTGGAGGCCCCGTTGATAGCAAGAACATGCTGAATGGCAATGCCCATTTGGCTCAAGATGCCCAGAAGATCAAAACCAGGGTTTGCGCTCGCCTGCCGGACTGGGGTTAATAAGGGTCCCGGTTTCTGGTTCGCGTTGTTTCTTTCCCTGTTGAGTAAGAATGGTCAAATCGGCCGGAGGAAAACCAGAAAGACGCATGGGTGTGAGTACCCCCAACATGGGTTACCCTGGAAAATGGAAACAAGACTAAAACCTGCGTCCACTTCCTGGTGGATTGAATTTGACCCATACCCACAATTTGGACCAACAGCACAGGTCCCAGACGGACCCCCCGCCTTCCACCGGCCCAGGCTTTGGATGAGACGGTGGCTTCGCATTTCAAGCCCGACCGGCCCTTGCGGTTTCCTTTGCAGGAGGCAGGCCCTGACAAGCGGGCAGGGGCGCACTTGGGGTGAACCTTGGATCATCTTCAGGGGAAAGATGACGCGACCTAGAGCTCAACCAAGTAGGTAGTAAAGGGACCTCTCCCTGGAGTTGTAGAAGACATCTTTAATAGAATCCCTTAATTTTCAAACAAGGATGCAACAGGAAACCTTGGTCGGGGGCTTGAACCAAGCTTCAAAGCCGGGTGATGTAGTGCGGACCGTTTGACCATGGGAAAATGGAGTCCTACCGCTGCTTGGTTCTGAACTCCTTGCCCGTTCCCACGTGTTCCCTCGATCCGGAGGCCAACCGGACGGTGGCTTGTCCTTAGACGAACTGGACGAATGTCATGGCCGCCGAAATATAGATCTCTTGGAGACATGTGGTTTTCCAAACTAGGGCATAGGCACCCGGAGAAGTTGTGCTTGTCACACAAGAAGCAGGTTCAGCCCAAAGGCCCGACCCACCCGAGATGGGATCGAAGCGAGGGCCTGGCCTCGCTTGCCAGGTGATGAAAGTGGGCGGCAAAGGCCGGCCGGCTTCAGAGAGGGCTGAAAGGTCGGAAGTTGGCAGCAAAGCCGCTGGATTTTGCGTTAAAAAAAGCGAAGAGACCAGAGTTGAATGTTTCCTTTGCCCACGAAATGCCACAAATGGAATGCCTCGGGTGCCTAGTATCTAGTTGCTCCGTAGAACTTATTTATGTTTTTGCTTGTCGGGTTTGGGGCCGGGACCCACTAAAAATGGTCAAAGCCCGAATAGGTTCCAATGATCTGTCTGCCAGGTCTCTGAACAACTGGGGCCTTGTGGATGGTGTTCAAAAAGGAGATCAAGAGGAAACCAAGCTCCCTCCATTTTCTTTTTAGAAAGATCATGCAGTGCATTCCGATTTCTCGGTTTTTGGGCCCTTCCTTTTGTTTGGTTCGAAGCGGGGAGATCCTATTGGAGATGCTGCAAGTTCGGACTGTGGCCAGTTCAGTCGGATTTCTGGCGGATGCCCTTTAAGATGGGATGCGGTTTCTCAGGCCTGATCATAGGGCAGCCGAAAGCCCCCCCCCCAAAGCCCCCCCGACCAGTGCCATGCCTGGTACTCTCAGATGTTGCCCATATCCCGAAACCGCACGCCCCAAGATTGGATGTTCAGTGGGCCCCCCTCCGATTTTCCCGCAAACCTTTCCTTGTAGGCATACACTCCCCTGATGCTCCGTCAGGTTCATAAATCCGAGTTCAGCAGTACATGTTGGACAAATGTATGACCCTTCATGACTTTCCCACCCTTTGACCGGGTTTTCGCTCGTGTTTACGGGGTTTCCCTCGTTTTTCATGCGTGGTCGCTGGCAGCCCAAGACCCGACCAGAAACTCAGTTGTTCAGTGGCACCCTTCTTCGCAATGTTTTTGTGGCCCCACTAAAACAGGTCTTCCCCAAAAAGGGTTCCCTTTTTTTTCCAGGGTCACTGAACAAGTAATCGCTCACATCTCCTCAGTTGCCCAAAGCCGACCTGTTGACCTTTTGGTTTCCCTGATTTGGTTAAGGTCCCAACAAGTAAACCCTTTGAAACATTTGCCCCTTTGAAACATGTTGCTTTTTCCACCAAAACAAGGGGAAACCACCATTGGCAAGGCAAGGTTCAGGTGTGTAATGTAAGGATCCCAGTGGATAGTGGTGCCATCCCCATCCCCTTCAAAATGGAAGTGGGGCAGGGGGGATTTCGACCCCTGGAGATCTCCATTGATTTCCACCTTCCCTTTTGTCGAGACTCAAAAAATGCCTGTTTCATACCAGACCAGACTGCGTGTTAGGTACCAAACCCTGGGTAAAGCCATGTGGCTTTCATCTTTTGACCCATGCCCAAATCGCTCGAAGACCTCCGCAGGCACCGTGGTGGTGGGCCGGGTGGCCACTGGCTCCCTGGGCTGCGGCGCACGCCTGGCCTTTGCGCCGGGCACCACGGAGGCGGAGGCGCGGAGTAGGCGGAGGGAAGCGCCATGGCTGTGGCGATGTTGAAAAAGCGGGCGACCTCTATAACAAGTATGGCCATGTTTCAACCGGGAACTCTATTTAAACAAAAGTTGGCGGATACTCATCTCCATGATGTTTGGGAGCCGATAAATTAATAAACAAGTGGTTTTTGCGGATGTTGAGCGCCATGTCTATGGGCTTTTCCTTTGAAAGTCGTAGGCAAATGAAGAGTCACCTTTTGGTCCAAAAGGGCAGCTCGCCGGCTCAAAGAAGCGACGCTCGGGTCTGGCCAGGTGACCGGCATCACGATGCAACACGAGTCGCTTACGGAGGCCCGATGGGGAGGGACTGTGGGCGATGGACCTCGTGTCCTTTGGCGCCCGCAGGGTGTGCATTGTTTTTTGGAGGGTGCCCGTTTCAGGTGGGTTGTGGGTTTCAAGGGACACCACGAAGGAAAGCCACCATTTTGTGGAATACCCTATTTTGACACGCTTTTTGGGTATTTTGCAGTCTTGGAGCACTCTTCCTCTTCTAGTGAAGCCTTTGGTTTGTTGTGCTCCTCGCTTTGCCATTTAGACACTGGCCGAGAAAGCCATCTCTTGTCTATGTGCAGACCCTTTTGCTGGGAGGGATCTCCTGAGTCACAGGGCACCGATTCTGATGTTTAGTCGAAATGGGAGGGCCAAATGCCCCCCAAAACTGGATGGTACCCGTCCTTGGTTTGGGGTTGCGCCATCAGCAGTTGAGCAGTCAGAGGCGAGCATTTGTTTGTGAAACGAGGTCGTGACACATGTTCAGTGGTACTGGTTTTCCTCTTTCCCCTTTTACTGGATGGCCGTCTTACAGAATTATTTCCCAACGATCAACAATCTTTCGACTGGGATTGAGCGCTTGGCTCTGAAATGAGGACATCCATGAAAGCCCACTGGTTGCTCTAGGCCAAGTCGCAGCACTCGACAGGCATTGGCGGATACATACATGTCTGAGAGCAGCTCCAATATGCACCAGTGCCCTCCAGCAAGCGCAGTATAGTGTGGCCATGTAAAGTTCAAGTAAAGCCACAATGCTACGTACATATACACCTATATAGATATGTATCTACATACATATATATATATATATGCATTTTTGCATGCAGTCGTGTGGTTAAACATGGCCCACGGGTTCCCGACAATTTGGCGTGTTGGATTGCAGTCCAGGCCGTCAGCGGCCACATGGTCTCGGTCTTCGTGGACGTGGGCATGAGCGAGCTTCGCCGAGGCCACAAAACGAGTGTCTGCGCGTGGTTTGCTCGGGCTTTCAGCCAAGGCGCTCTAAAGTACCCTCCCACCAGCTGACATGGTTTGGTGCACAGAATTCTGTAGAAAGACGACTTTCCTCTTGGAAAGGGCCTTTTTGCACTTCAATGTTAGTTGGTGGGAGGGTAATGCTTTCAAAACTGTGCTTTCAGAGAACTCCTAGGTCAACTTGGTTTGTGAGTTGCCGCTTGTTGGTGGGCGATGTGTTTGACGTGGTCATCTGCAGCTGGGTGAAAGTAGCTGGCACAAGTCAGTCATTTTGATCTAGTCACTGACCATAAAGAGAACTGTGCCATATACTTTCAACCTGGTGTTATGCCAATTGCCCATGTGGCTAAAGTGAACATGTTGATTCTTCTTGTCTTCCACCCCATGGAGTGGCGCTTAGTACCCAAACACGGGGTTTTAAGCGTTCCAAAGTGAACATGTTTAAGGGTTCTCAAAATGAAGCGAGCATTTGGAGGGGTCCTTGGCATCGTTTCGGAGATCCAGCGAGGTATGGTGGGTTCCGCGCTGGATGACAACCCGGCTCGGGAGCACCTCGGCGGGGGACTTTTAGCGAGCTCACCGGGGGAAACGAGCTCCACCCATGGAAGGTCTGTTAGTGTAGGCTTCTGCTTCGTTTTGGGAACGGCCACGAAGCGATAGCGTTTTGTTTTGACTTTTGACCCCAGTTGGGACCGTGAATGTGACCTTGATATGGTCATGAACTCCATCCCCCAACCAGCTATTTGCCCCAACAAGGGAGAACTTCCCCCAGGAAAATTTGGTTTCATACCCTGGCCCATGTCATTGGTGGGGCCTTGGGCATCAGAGGTCACAAAAGGGGTGGTTTATCAGATCTGAGCCTTTTAACGGCAACACCCAGCCTGTTTCTTCAACTCGTGGTTTTAGCACACACACCGAAATATAAAACATATGTATATATATATATATGTATGTTTACATGTATACGTACACAGACATATATCTAGATATGCACAAAATCATCTGCACAGAGATGTTTGTTCAAGATCGAATATCTAATTAGTTCGATCATAGTTCCAAAACCATTCAACTCACCATTCAATATATGAATACAGCGGGTGTCCAAGAGATGTGCAAAGCAAACAACAAGGTAGCCGCATCTCAGACGCTGCAGGTGTTCCTCCTTCCTGGCGCAGGTCATCGTTTTGTGCGACCCCCGTGCTGGGGCCATCCGTGCACACAGCGAACTCACGGTGCAGTGTGGCTCGGGCACAATGGACGGTACCTGGGTGCTTCTTGTCGCCGTTGATTGCTTGTTGTGTGTGTGTGCGCGCTTTTGTGTGAACAGCAGGTTTTTTCAGGTTTCATGGGTGTGTGAAATGGTGAGCATGATGGGTTTCGCGTGCATGTGATTCATTTGATCAAGGATGATATGTGTGGTTCGCTGGGTGGCAATGCGGAAACGGGGTCAACTCTCGCAATGGCGCTTGGTACCAGGGAGTAGTTTGTTTGTTCTGAGGCAGGTTCCTACAATCTAAACTGGGCTGAACCTCTTTTCAGCACGCCTTACTGCAACTGAACATCCAGCAATTCAATAGAGCAACCTTTGTCCAGAATTAATTGTTTACACCCTCTCCACCGAATTGGGTGACCTCGGTATGCCAAAATGAATCTGCCAGGGATCGAATAATCCAGGGTTAGGAGACCCTCCCAACCTTTGTAGTGTTGGATGCAAGTGCCCCCCTTTGGCCGGCATCCTTATTGGTGACCCCCTTTCCTCGTTCCAAAAATGAACAGGTGGGGATGGCACTCTTGGCAAAGTGCCCCTCGCGAACCTATGGCAGTGCATGATCTTACCCGTGAAGGAATTGCTGGGCAACGGGCAACGGGGGGCTTCAGAAGATTACAGTCTCGTTGTTGGAAAACGCCTCAAATGGCTGATTTCTGCTTCAGGACGAGACTGAGGGTGTCTTTTGGGGGAGCCGGTGGGCTGAGAATGGGAACAAGCGAACAAAATGAAGCACTTGGTCAGTCAGACCTGTTTTGGATTGGGCAAGAAGAATGCCGATCCGAAAGTAATCATATGTTTGCCTCTCGCATTGTGACAAATCAGTTGCCCAATCTCCATGGTTGATTTGGAGCCATATGAAGCGCGGTCAGAATGTACGGAAAAGGAAAGTAGTCTACACTTGGACATCCATATAGCTCAAGGTGCTTGAAACCAGGGAAACCGATAAGGGGACTCTCAACAAAAATGATACCTTTGTGTTACAGACCAAACGCTGAAAAACGATAGGGGACTCTCTAAATTCGAACGTAGTTGCTGTGAACAGCAAATTTTGACGGAACTTCATATTGTCGTACGGGTGAACAGAAGAATCCTGCATCACCGTTACAGCATTGGGTTATCTCGGGGGTGAACACCCTGCTGAACGAAAAGAAGCACAATGGCCAAATTCCTGCACCAGGTTTACAGCCCTCAACTTTGAATATTGGGCCAGGGTCCTTCTACGTCACTTTCAACTTGCTGTTTGTCAGCCATCCGCGGTATGGTGAATTATGATGCCATCCCTCCATCAAGGGATGCAATCAATGTTTCATCCGCTTTTCCTTCGCCTTCCCAACCTCCCGCCTGGTACCTCCCCCTGGCGTCTGCCGCTGGGGGCGTTCTCAGCACTACCCTCCGCTCCAATGAAGCGATCGCCCAGGCCATACCGCACAGGTGATCTGCGCCTTTGAGGAGTTGCTGTCCCGCACCGATCGGCGCACAGGCGACTCGGCTTGCGGACGCTGCTTTGAAATGGATTACCCAGGCTTTCATCCAGGGCTTTCACTTTTGGGGGAATCAACCACCCCTGTTTTCAAGCCTAGCTTGGGGTATATAATCAGAAAGGGACCCCACACCATTTGTTTAGAGAGACCGGGGCTTGCATACATGACTACGATGGTCAAGGAAAGACTTACTATGCCATGTTTAGAGCTTGGCAGGCATTGGGTGAACATGTATCATCAATTGTTATGGGTCTGCCATTTTGGATCAAGACTGAGCCAAATTGGCAGACACCTTTTTGGTTTTCGGTCATATTGTTGACTGGAGTGGGACTCCGGCATGTCTGGCGCCGATGCAGGCCTTTTGGTGGCCCATTGTCAGGCGCGGATGTTGCACCCGGCGGCCCTCATGGACTTCGAATCCTACGTGCAAGGACTGCTGGCCCGTGGGGAACGGGACCAGGCCGTTCGGCTGTGGAGGGCTGTTGTGGTGGTGGTGCACCTCCCCCCAACCGAGGCCTCTGAATTTCGCATTCATTCCCTGGGGTCGTTGCGGGAGGTTCCCTGCATGGTGGAAGGGTGTGCTAGGTGCACAGAGATGCGTGGGGGGTTCCAGTTCCCGTGGCTCGGGACATGGACCAAACGCGCAGTGTGCTTGGCCAACAAGGACGCCGCGTACTTGGCCCCGCTGTAGTGCAATGGCATGCGAGCATCCTCCGGGACGTCGCCTTTGGTCTGCCAGTCGCCCAGTGCCGCCATGTCGAGGGCGCTGAACCCCACCAGTTGGCCCACCGTGGTACCAACCCGCCTGAACGAGTACGACGACACCATCGCCGGGTTCTCCACCAAGTCCGCAAACTCATGCCGGACCATCCGGTAAACATCGGATAGCGACCACGGGATCCCCTCCCGACGGAACGCCAGCCCGCAGTCTGCCTTCTGCTTCTCCGGCACCAGGGCAAAGTCATGGAGCCAGGCCGCCGACCAGTCCCACCCGGTTGACAGCTGTCCGGGTACGCAGAAGTCGAAGCCCTTGCGAAGGCGCCGCTGCTTCCCTTTGATGCAGTGCGCATGGACCGTCGACATGGTTACCTTCCGCACCTCCGCCCGAGTGAGGTGCTTGTGGCGTAGAACTCCTCCATAGAGCATCCATGCCGCCAGCAACGCTTGCCAGCGATCATCGCCCTGCGTGTAGAGCTCCTCCATCCGCTGCTCCATCTTCAGCAGCATCACCGGTTCCACCACGGCTGCCTGTCCCCTGGGCCCTGCCCGGCGCGCCTGTCCCGCAGGCTTCCTCGCAGGTCGGCCTGTCCCGGATGACGTTCCGTGTGAGGGCACCACACCGCATGCAAGGGGGGGGAAACACACGCTCTCCCGCCGCAAAGCCAGCCAGCCACTGCCCCAGAGCCTTCCCGGCCCAAGCAGTGGCCCCATCGCGACTCTCCCAGTCGCCGGAGGGGATCGGCTCATATGCCGGCTCTCGCCAAGAGACCCGGCCTGCCTGCCACCTCCTCCACGCCCAGAAGACGGCCTCCCGATCGAGGCCACACTCCTCGAGGCCGGCCAACTCCACGTAGCCAACGAACCGCGCCACGTGCTCGGGGACCAGCTGCTGCACTCGCATGCCCGAGTCAACGGCCCGAAGCTGATCCTCATCCAAGTAGTCCCGGCCCGCATAGTAAAGGTCCCAAGCCGCCTCCGGGCCAACCTCCGCTTGAACCAGGATGGTGGGAGCGGTTGCGGCTCTGACCCACCACGAGTCCTGGGAGTTGGTTCCGCCGGCGGAGGTCCAGGAGGCGGCCCAGGCTGGCCAGGCGGCGTCAGCCCAAGCCAAGGCGCGGGACGCCCAGGTGGTGTGGGCGGCCCCCCCACGCCCCAAGGAGCTTCAGAAGCGCTTCGCCCTGACGCAGAAGCTCAAGCGGATCGCCAAGCAGAGGCAGCGAAGCCAGCTACCACGATGCCGGCCTCGCTCAACGGCCGGCGCCTGACCGCAGTGATGCGTGATGGCAAGAGGCTATGCCCGGCGTTCCAATCGGGGCAATGCCCCGGGGAGCGAGTGTGCGGGTTTGCACACCTTTGCGCATGTGTCCGCTTGACGGGGAGAGCCTGCGGAGGGAAGCATGCAGCGGGCGTGTGCCGGGTGACGAAGGTGGTCATGGTGGAGGACCCGGAGGCGTCCATCCCGGCCCGGCCGTCAGGGGCCGCGAGCAGTGGCTCGGCTAGTGCCGAAGCGATGATGCTGTCGCCCAAGATCAAGGCGGTGCCCCAGAAGCGGCCGCCAGAGCCGAGCGGCCCTGGTGAGAAGCGGAGGAGGCGTGACGCCTGGCCCGAGGGTGACTCGGAAGCCCCGTCACAGCCTTCGCGTCCGGCGGCTGTGCTCCCTGTGGCCCAGGGGGACCAGCTGTTTGATGCCCTTGCGGAGGAGCGCGCTGCGCAGGTGGCGACGTGCATTTACCAGAATGCGAAGGGTGGCCGTTTGTGGTTGTCCAAGCAGGTGGAGGCGCCCAACTTCCCGCCCGTGACTCTGCAGATCATTTGCCTCCCGAGCAGCCCGGAGAGCCGGGGGGGTGTGACATTGCCGGGGGCGTTCCCGGTGTACATGCCCATCACGAAGCCACGGGACCGCACGGAGGGCTGGAAGAACATGTGGGCTGTGCTGCAGCAGACGTTGGCGGCTGGTGAGCAGGCGCTCGTGCACTGCATGGCGGGCCGGCACCGGGCCGCGGCAATGGGCATCCTGGCCCGTGCAGTCTTGACCCGGGAGACCATCTCGGAGTCGGAGGCGTGGATTCGGGACCGCAGAAACATCGAGTACAGCAAGATCGCCCGCGACAAGGACACCGGGATGTGGGTGGAGCGAATGCGGCAGGAAACGAGGGTGGGACCCTCGTGGCCTTTGCCGGTGGGCTACGTGACCACGGTGCGCTCGAGCATCCACCTGCGCATGATGAACGATGCGCCGCTGTGCAGCCACAAGCAGGCGCGCTCTGGTGCTGGGCGCTTGAGGGATCCGATCCTGTGCGACACCTGGGAGGAGGCGTCAGCGTGGGGGCGGACTTTGTGCCACCTTTGCCAGGGGCGAGCTCCAGCTGGGTGGCGGCGCAGTGAGTAGACCATGGCTGATGTTTTGCGGTTTTGCCTTGTAGCGCCCCGGCGCATCCAAATAAGCTTGGGTCCCCATTTTGCACGGGCCTCAGCCTGTGCCGACGGGCCCGACTTTGCTGAGAGTGAGAAGAAAGTCGATGTGAGGACCCCCCCCAAAGTGTGGCTGGGACCTTAGGTTTTGGGGAGGAGTGGAAGGGCGAGTGACGGTCCCCCGCAAGTGATGCTCCACGGCTTGACTCCACTGCACCTGCACTGTCATGGGGGTTTCCGTGGGAGACAGGGAGGGGAGTCGGTCATGGGACGGGGTCTGCCTCAGCCCATTTCGTATTGCAGGACTAGATCCGGCGTTGACAGCCAGGCCGGGGAGTGACCCTGGCGGCAATGGCAAGTTTGGGGTTGGTGCCTCCACCTGGGAAGACCATTGAGGAAACCCTTGGGGCCCTGCCAATCAACTTCGATTTGGAGCAATCGGTCGTCCAAGCCCTCCTCAAACACAAGATTGCCAACCTGGAAGAATTTCGGTTTTTCTTCAACTCGGAGGCACAGGTTGAAACCTTCCTGGGCAAACTGAATCTGGGAGAGGATCGAATGATCCAGGTGGCTCGTTTGAGGCGGGCCTGGTCCGCGGTTTCACTGTATTTCAAGCAGTGTGACACCGACCGTTCCAAAGTGAGTGCCACTGACCTCGATTCACTGCTGGGAGACAGCGAGCTTCGGGATGTCAAGGTGGCCTTTTGGACCAGGTACCGAGTCCGGCTCCCCCCGGAATTGTACCCGTTTCCCGAGTGAGTCGAGAGATGTCCAAGAGGCTGTTGTGCGTTTTCGATGTGTGGAAGGTTCGGTCATTGCAATTCCAGCTCACGTCATCCAGCAAGAAGAGGAAGCTGGCGGACACCTTGTTCGTCGAAGAGGACGCGGACGAGGACACTGTGGCCAGAGATTGGGAGGGCTATCTGGACAAGCTCTACACGCTGCTGGTGGCCTACGCCCTGGCTGGCACGGGCCGAGTGTCAGGTGCTCCGGAGGCGGCTAGGGAGGCCGTCCTGGGGGCCGACAGCACGAGCTTCGTCCAGGTCCCGCTCGATGTCCTCTTGGCCTACTACTACCGGGCCAGACGGGTGCTCCAGTCGCTCCCGCACCACAAGCGACTGGGATGGCTGCAGGCTCAGGACCTGGCCGAACGGACTGAGTGGGTGACCAAGTTCCGCGAGAGCACCAAGACGCTGGGCAAGGTGGTCATGGAGGTGTTTGAGGCCCGGGACCCGCACTGGGTGGTGCGTGCCGGCGAGGGGAGCGCCGCGCCGGCCACCCCGGCTGTGGGCAAAGTGGCTACCAGCCCGAGTACGTCCCTCTTCCAGCTGGAGCCGATTGGCGGTCGGGCGGTGGCTAAAGTGCTGAAGGATGGAGTCACCCTGTGCCAGGCATTCCAGCATGGCAATTGCAAGGCGACCAAGTGTCAGCAGGCGGCTCACCGCTGCGGCCTTGTGACCAGGGGGGAGCGCGTCTGTGGGGGCAGCAACCACGGAGCGTCCACCTGTCGCGCTGGGAAGAAGGGGAAAGGCTCCTGATGGGGCCCGGAGGATGATGTGGCGGCTGCATCCTCTGGGTCCGCTGCGGTAGCGCTGCCTGGTGGCGAGCCACCTTTGATGGCTGACCTCATGTGTGGGCCGAACCTCCCGTTGACTAAAGCCTTCCTGTGGTGTGGATGGCGCACCGTCTCCGTGGACTGGCTCCTTGACCCCGCCCATGACCTGTCTAACCCCCTGAGGCAAAAGTCGTTGGCAGGCCAGCTCGAGGAGACCGACTTCATTGCGGCCGCGATGGACTGCTCCACCAAGTCGCGGGCGAGGGAGATTCCGCGGAAGTTCAACGACGGGCGACCAGCACCCCAGCCCCT